ATTAATAAAGGAAATAATTAACTGTTCAGTATATAATTAAATAAGGTATAAGAGCATTAATAGTTTTTAACTGTAATAGTTCCGTGTCATCTGTTTATTCATTATATCTAACTAAAATAGAAATAAAACACGTCAGTCTCATGAAGGGAATGCGATGATTTTATGTCAAAAATTAATGTATCGATGATGTAAAAATTACTTTAGTAGTATTTATTTTAAAATTTTCATTCAAATAAAATTGCTACAACTTCTTTTATTTCATATATTTTTAGTCGAAAATCACTGGACTCAAAGAAGTAAATTAGTTATCCATTATTTGCATTCTAAAATTGAAATGTACCTATTGCCTTTCGATGTGGTTACCTGAATGCTCCGGATGGAGTAGGTAAAACATGGACAAGCTCCATTCTCAATTGTCCTTCCGTTTTACCACAACGTAGCACTAGTTACTGTAAGGATAATACGTTCGATAAAAAGAAATTATAGAAAAGTACTAGGTAGCAAAAGGATGTATTATCTAATGCAGTTTCTGTACAAGATTTCACGGACAGAATGAAAAGTTGCTTCATCATCCTGGTATTACATCAGGACAATATATTTCCATCTTTCCTTCTCGCTCGTCAACCAGAAAGCCTGTCGGCGAGGGAAACAGAACATACAACGTTCAAATAGGTGAATGTCTGTGCTTTGAACTAATGTTTTCTTGTGGCATAGTAGAGTCGCGTAGAAGTCACGGCTTGCTAGAATCAGGTTGACAGCCAATCGTCATCCAGTATTCTACAGGTGATTAACCAATAGAAAGGAGTTGCGAATTATTTATAATTCCCGGACATGAGAGTGGTAAATAAATACTAATAATGGAATAACAACTACATACACACGTACACGTACGATATAACAAATGCAAACACAGAAGCGTACGTAACTCTAGGTGTAGATACCTGCAGTTGTTTACGATTTAAATTAAAAACAAGATTGTTAATTGTTCTGTAGAGGTAGTGCACGTTTTTGCAATTCGTATGCAACGAACAAGACAAGAAAACTGTAAGTTGCAACCCTGACCTAAATCGGGTTTTTACAATCACCTTTTTATGTGAAGGAGGAGAGTTGACAAACAGAAAACCATTGCGGACGCGTACCTACAAGTAATACCTACACTACTCTGTTACTGATTTAAATAAAGCAATCGGAAAGAAAAAGCTCTTGTAAAAGACATTCATTTAAGAGCTTTTAAAAACTTTTTAAATAGAAACATGGAAACACGTTTTCTTTTTGCCTTTAATTGTGAACAGTTTCACAAAAATCCAATCGACATTACTGATAATAGTAAATAAAGTGTATCCAGAATGATAAAATGCAGAATTGGTACCAACTTTTTGGGTGTTGAATTTCCACTAAAGGCTAAAGCTGTCTTCAGCTTCCTTTTAGGGATAGAGGAAACGGGTGGTTGGGAGTTGAGGGGAGCAAAATCAGACGGACGAAATGAAGGAAGAAGAGACTGAAAGATCTTATCTGTGAAATATTACTGCCCCAACATTTGTCTAAGTGATCCAAGGAAACCACAGAGAAAAACCCGGATCGGGCAGGCGCACCCGGAATCGAACCGGTATCTTCCCGAAAGCTAAGCATAAACTTTTAGGCTATGATGCTCGGTCTGACTAGGAACTATTTACAGTAGAATTTGGTTAAGTTATAGTGTTATCCTAGGAACCAGAGATATCTTGACGTAATAACTGGGTGTAAACAATACTTATGTAATATACAAAAGATAAGACAAACTGAAATTTTAGACACATATTTTGCACCAGTTACATCAGTAAACGATCAATTTTCTCAAAGTACCAGTAATAATACGACCGTTTCAAGGATCTGTAACAACAAAAATATGACATTATATCCGAATTTGTTATTACCGATATTTTTAGATTGGGAAAACGGAACTATTAAAATCACAGTTGCCGTTCTATCCGATATTGTCAACATAACATAACAATAAAAAAAGACTATACAAATTGCGACATATCATTAATGATCATTTTGATAAAAACCCCAGTTTATGATTTTTTTGATAGAAACATTAATATAAAACTCCCTATCAACTTAAATGCGCTATCTATTTCGGAAATCACATTTACTTCTAAAATTAATTATCGGAAACTACACATCACACAAACACGTATATAACTTATTATGTTCTAATTAATACCAGTTAATTTGGAAACTCAAAAAAATGCTTTCGAAAAATGTTTCGCCAAGTGAAGCTTTTACAACATTAACTACCAATCTTTCGTTTTTTTCTGTGACGATTTTTTTTAAAACATATACGTAATACGTCGCTGACTTAGTTGTGCCACATTCCAAAACTGACTATTTTTGATAGAATAGGCCCAAAAAAGCTAAAAGAAGTTTGTGAGAGTATTTTCAAGTGATTTGCAGCGTTCCAACATTGGAATAAATGACTGTTTGTGTATCACCTGTTGATTCCGTTTATTACGTACAATTTTAAATTGAATGAAGAAACGCGGGAAAGACACAATTGCATGTAGCCGATTATTCGTAGACCTGTCGTGTTGCCGATTCCACAGCTGTGTCGTGATTGGTCGGAAAATCCAGGTAGATCCACTGGTGAAACGCGTACTTCAGTAACAGTACGGTAAAAATTGAAGCAACGGAATACTTACCTGAGCCACACGAAATGCCTCGGAAACATTCAGTCCGAAAACTGCTGCTAATACGTGAACGAAACCATAGCCGGCTGTGAAAAACCGAATGTCGAGTAATTGTTGCGAAAATCCACTAGGAAATCCAACCGCAATACCTAAAATAATACTGCCCACCTGTTGATCTAAGTGTGCGTCGCGTTACTCGTGTGAAAATTTCCAAGTTTCGTTGCCGATGGACTGTTTGTTCGACGCGTGTGCATGTCTATGTGTGCGACCCTCGTTTTTTATTTTCGTATTGTTTTATTCCTGTTTTTTGTATTTTTTTAAACAAACATAAACAACAATAAGTACCTGCGTTACGGCAACAATTGCACCATAATTTTAATTTACATATGTTGTATTCATAAAAACGTTTTTCTTCTTGTTTTCTTGTTTCTTTTTAATACTCTCGAGATTTTAGTCAATTTTTGTGATAGTTAATGCAAATAAACGTAGTTTTATACAATCCACTGCGACAGCTGTCTGTGATGATTCCTTGTAAGAAAAGATAAGATATAAAAAAGTCGTATCAAAGCTCTAACCGTTGCAATTTAAGGAAAACGGCACAATTTTTCCGTAAATACATATCTCCTTAAGTGTTACAAACCTAATATAGATATCTATGCTAGAAAAGAACTGCATTGTGAACTCTAACAACTTATTATACAGAGAGAAAACGGGGAACTGTAAAGTATAAATAAGTACATAGTGTGTGCGAGTACTGGAATATGACACAATCAAGGTAACATAACCTCTCCTTGGCGTCCAGGTGTTTTTGAAACATATTTTGGGACAAATGAGTATAAAGGAATTCACTATGATTGGGCCTCACCACGTGTGTGTCTTGTATGTAGCCACCGCAGGGCTTCAGGGAAACCTCATGGGATCTGACGAACAAGAAATTGTCCTGCTCATCTACGTCATCATCGACTATGTTCAAAACAAGGTGAGAAACAATACTGAGAAGCGTGAGAATAAATTCATTAAAAAAAAACTGAATTTTGCTCTTCAAATGGCAACTTACTATTGTCCTGCACGCATTTCATTTTGCGAGTAGGTACAAAATGGTCCACTTACAAATGTACCCTTAACATATTAAATTGGCAGGATAATTGAAGGAATGCCCAAAATATGCGTGTCTTTATAAGAAGGAAATAACAGTGTCTTCGTAAGGATACCTAAGTACCTAAGCACAGGCGTTTGGTTCTCTCGGTTTTCACAGTAAAAGCGAAGATTTTCTTCTAAAATTAACAAAGGAAATCATTTTACAGTCCTTTCGGTAAAATAGGACCGCTTCCTTTACATTAATTTTGAATTCATGAGATGTATAAAACAAGATAAAATTTTTCAAGAACTCCATTATTTAAAAAAGTTACAGAAATACTAGGCTTTAGTATAATTTCTAAGAAAAACTCTAAAGCAAATTCAAATTATGTGTATAATATGTATTTTATTTTATAAAAATCAGACGGTTATAAGCATAATTTTAATTCTGAGTATACACCTATATAAAATATTTTATTATGAATTTTCTTATTAAATAACTTTATTTGAACAACTAACGGAGATGTTGATTTGATAAGGCCGGTCAAAAGTCAGAAGAAAACAGATAAAATACCACCATTGATAACACATTTGCCTTTATCATAAAGTAAACATATAATATGTTTTGTGTTATTTAAAAAGAAAAGCTAGCCGTTATTTATGTATTTAACCCAGTTAATCCGCAGATAGGTAAAACTGCAGCTATTAAATGAAATTATTTATAAAAAATTCACGCGATGTGTCTCAATGACGTTGGCCCATCAGTTCAAAATCCAGGATTTCTAAATTTATGTTATTGCAAACAAAACAATTCAGTGTAGTTAGTGACAGTGACATTTCAAAAATAAATACGGGTATCTATAGGAATATGTGCCGGGCAAATTCACCAATAATATTACTTTATAATCGGCTGTAAACTAAAAAGCTCAAAACCTAATGTTAATGTACGAAGTACTACGCCTGGTAGCAAAATTATCTTCTTCAGGGACTCAAGAAGAATTAAGTGCTTTCAATAAACCGATACCTAATAAAGTCACAAGTATTGCTGAGAGCTAAATTTTTAAATCTTGGAAAATATCGTAGCATATCTTGAAGGTACAATTTGATATCTAGATGATAATTTTGAAGGATTTCAAGGAAGTCATATAAAGAGTTCTCTTCAGTCTCTTCCCATAAAGTACTTCAGACGTTCAGTGTAGTGTTTTGGCGTTGTGGTTTGAGCTTTTTGGTGTTAAATGTTAATAAACAATTTCCATATTAATATAAAATTGTAAATATTTCCAATAAAAATTACATTTTCGTTACTCAAGAAGCGTTAGCAATTCTTGTCTAAAATGAATAAGACTATTACCTAATATCGAATAATTTTGACGAAAACAAACGTACCAGAAGTTATTAATTATATCTACCTATACTTTACAAGATGGTCAAATTTTTATACCACAACATGACATCCGTAAGTTTATTTACAAATGCGGAACTTCGAAACGTAGTCTAGTTTTGACTTAATACAAAACATGACCTTGTTATCTATTACTCAAACATTATTGTTCAAAATAATTCCGAAAATATTTATACGTGTTGTTTCGTAATAGAAAATGCATTACATACAACTTGCATTGAAAATGAAAGTAGTAAATGAACATAATTTTATTGAAATCAACTGTAATTAATTGCATTTAAAAAGTAAAACCAGTAAATAATTTGATTATATAGTTAGCATTAGTAATAAAATATTTATAATAAACAATACCTACAAATTCAATCATAACAAGTTTCAAAATGACGCTATGAAGTTTACAACTATTTTTACTTTGAATCACTTCGAATAAATTCATGCAAACTTTTTATAAATTTTGTACTTATTAATAAGGTTTGTTTAGACGTTAAAGGGATGGTAAAGGACTAGACTTTTACTTTCAGTTGCGATCTATTTAGTCCTTAAGAAGATTTTTGTTAGCCGAAAATCGAAAACATTTTTCTTCTATATTTATAAATAA